AACAACCCAAGTGCTCATCAACAGGTGAACGAATAAAGAAAATCCTGCCATTTGCATCATCCCAGATGAACGAGGAGGTTCATCTAAGTGAAATAAGCCAGTCATAGAAAGACAAACACCATATGACTACACTCATACACGAGGTATCTAAAATACTCAAAATCAGAGAAGCAGAGAATAAAAGGGTGTCTGCTGGGCGTGAGGGGGAAGGGAGCTAAGGGGAATTGTTCAACAGATATAAGGTGTCAGTGATGCTAGATGAATAAGTTCTAGAGCTCTGCTACACATGTGGCTATAGATATCAATGTAGTATCTTATGTACTTCAAAATGTGTTGAGAAGGTAGATTTTTTTTTTTTTCTTAGCGCTCACACACAAAAAAACCCACAAACAAACTCTACAAAAGACAGAAAATTCCACAAAGGGACACAAAGAAACTCTGGGAGGTGTTGGATGTCTGTTCCTTGACTGTGGTGATGATATTACAGGGGGTTTGCAAATATCTGAACTCATCACAGTGTCCATATTAAACATGTACATCTGCGTATATCAACTGCGCTGTGCTTAGTCACTGAGTCACGTCCGACTCTGTGCGACCCCGTGGACTGTACTACTCTCACTCTGAATCTCGCAGTATTGGAGGGATGTTAGGCTCTGATATCTTGAGTAAAGATCATATACAGCCAATACTGACCTTGAAAACATCATGTAAATGTCCAGTTGGTAGAGCTTATAAAACGTGTGTGGTGTGGCATGTGTTAGTCACTCAGTCATGTCTAACTCTGTGTGACTCCATGAACTGTAGCCTTCTAGGCTTCTCAGTCCTTGGGATTCTCCAGGCAACAATACTGGAGTGGGTTGCCACCTCCTTCTCCAGGGTATCTTCCCCATCCAGAGATCAAACCCAGGTCTCCTACTTTGCAAGCAGATTCTTTACCATCTGAGCCACCAGGGAAGTCTATATATATATATATATATATATATATATCTCAACTATATCTCCATAAAGCTGTTCTTAAAAAAAGAGAGGAAGGAAGCTGTGTGGTCATATTCACATGGAAGTGAGGAGGAGCTGGTACCTTTGGTAGCTGATTATATATTCAAGAGTGGCGTTGAACTAAGATCTGGGAAGACGTGATGAGGATGTGACAACACTAAAAATATTCCTGTGCCGTTGCCCAAAGCTGCTCTGTTGAACTTACGCTTTGCCGCTGAGAGTTAGATGAGATAAAAATGTATCACATATAGAATTCTGGAAATATTGCACAGAAATTTCTAAAAGAAGAAATGGCATTAAAAGGAGAAAAAAAGATAAAAAATTCTTACAGACAAAAGAGTCTCAACAAAAAATGATCAAGGAATTTTCATCTCTGAAAAGACATAGTTTTCCCCCAATTCACACTTCCCTTCACTGACATTTTTTCCCCCTTTTCTAACCTTAATAATAAATGAAAGGGGCTTTCCTGGGGGGCTCAGCGGTGAAGAATCCACCTGTCAATGCAGGAGACACAGGTTCGATCCCTGACCCAGGAAGATCCCACACTCTGCAGAGGAACTAAGCCAGTGTGCCGCAACAATTGAGACTGTGCTCTGGAGTCCAGAAGTGGCAACTACAGAGCACAAATGCCGTAACTACTGAAGCCTTCATACTCTAGAGCCCATGCCCCAACACAAGAGAAGTCACCACAATGAGAAGCCCACGCACTGCCACTAGAGCAGCCTCCAGCCTGCTGCAACTAGAGAAAAGCCCGTGTGCAGCAACAAAGATCCAGCACAGCAAAAATTAAGTAGAAAAACATGTTAAAAATAATAAATGAAAGAATCGTCATGCAGTAAGCAAGTGAAAGTTGCTCAGCCACGTCTGGTTCTGTGGGACCCTATGAATTGTCGTCCAGCAGGCTCCTCTGTCCATGGGATTCTCCAGGCAAGAATACTGGAGTGGGTTGCCATTTTTTCCCCAGAGGATCTTCCCTACCCAAAGATCAAACCTGGGTCTCCTGCACTGTAGGCAGATTCTTTACCATCTGAGTTACGAGGGAAGCCCTGCATAATTCAGAGAACATATCAATAAATAGTTCTTTGGGATTTTATTTGAAGATATTAATTTCATTCTGTTTCTCTTGGTTTATTTAAATTGTGTGGTTGGCTTCTGATTTTTTTTTTTTTTTTTGGCTTCTGTTTTAAAAGGATGAATCTATTTCTCCCAAGCAAGTTCCCTATCCTTACATACAAAATAGGCATTATCATTTTCTATAGAGGGAAACACAAAGCCATGCACAGATGTTGCCATCAAAGACATTTATGGAGGAGGCACTAGATCAAGAGAAAACTGCGGACCTCAGATGGGGGTCTTCTCTGAGGTCATCATGTTTTTCTTTCTTGGGACCGGCAGAAATAGAGCTGGAAGTCCTGAAGAATCCTCCCTGTCTACATCCTGGATCCTCTATCAGTATGACTCATGGACTCTGAGGATGCAGTCCACATTGCAGCATTGGCTCTGGGCAGCCACGGGACACCAGAGTAGAGAATGAATTGCGGCTAATGAGGAAAGGTGTCTGGATGCAGCTGTGGAAGGGGTGAGCTGAGGATAAACAAAATAGGCAACAGCAACAACAACACAAAAAAGCCCATTTTAGCCTGAAAAATGAAGGAAAAGAAAATCAGAGGAAGTAAGCTTTGATTGCATCCATTGCCCAGAGAGAAAACGGCAAAACAATTTAATTTTGAATTCTTCTCTCGAGTCTCCTAACTCGGTGATGTTTCCAGAGAAAAAGGAATTGCTGATAAAAGTCATGGGGCTTTGGGTAAATCTGGAAAGCAAGAAGTCTGGGGAAGATTTGATTACAGTTGACAGCAGAGATGAGAGCTTTCAAAGCCCCATGTGCACCCGGGTTGACTAATTACTGATTGGGGGTGGGGGGAGTTGATTTTGTTATATTTAGAAGAGATTTGGAAACCATGAGAGTTTTAACAAGATACCTCATGCACGTGCAGCACTGCTGTGGTCCAATTGCTTATATTTTGAAGCAGCAGCAGTGAGAAAACAACATGTGAATTTCCAAATATGTGAAACTCTGCCTTTAGAGTGGCGATTCCCAAATTTTAAACATCCATGGATAGTTCAGCCTTCTTAACTCCTAGCCATTTCATATTTTCTTAGATTGCTTCACCTTTGTCTTTTACTTTAAAGGAAAATTTATATCACTCATTTAAATGCCCTAAAGAAAAAAATAAATGTAAGAACAAGTACAATGAACGTGAGACCTTATTTAATTTGCACTAAATATTTTTGTAGGGGAAAGCTCCTAGCCTGTTCTTTGTTAAAAGAGAGTAATGGAACTCCCAGTGGTTTGGTCTCCGTGCTCCCACTGCTATGCAGCCACGTGAATCAGCCATGTGTGTACATGTATTCCTTTCCTCTGAGCCTCCCTCTCACCTCGCCCAGGCCCCCATCTAGGTCGTCACAGAGCACCAAGCTGAGCTCCCTGTGTTACACAGCAGCTTCCTGCTAGCCATTCCCATTTTTTTACACAAGGTAGTATTTATATGTCAATGCTACTCCCTCAATTCATTCAGCTCAGCTCAGTTCAGTCGCTCAGTCGTGTCTAACTCTTTGCGACCCCATGAATCGCAGCACACCAGGTCTCCCTGTCCATCACCAACTCCCAGAGTTTACTCAAACTCATGTCCATCAAGTCGGTGATGCCATCCAGTCATCTCATCCTCTGTTGTCCCCTTTTCCTCCTGCCCCCAATCCCTCCCAGCATCAGGGTCTTTTCCAATGAGTCAACTCTTTGCATGAGGTGGCCAAAGTATTGGAGTTTCAGCTTCAGCATCAGTCCTTCCAATGAACACCCAGGACTGATCTCCTTTAGGATGGACTGGCTGGATCTCCTTGCAGTCCAAGGGACCCTCAAGAGTCTTCTCCAACACCACAGTTCAAAAGCATCAATTTTTCAGTGCTCAGCTTTCTTCACAGTCCAACTCTCACATCCATACATGACCACTGGAAAAACCATAGCCTTGACTAGATGGACCTTTGTTGGCAAAGTAATGTCTCTGCTTTTTAATATGCTGTCTAGGTTGGTCATAACTTTCCTTCCATTCACTACCACTCTTTAATATGCTGTGTAAAATAGTTTTTGTTTGTATTCATTTTCTGAACTGGGTCTTCAGAAAATAATTTTAAGCTTATCTTACTTTTTCCATTTTCTGATTAGTACTTTTTGGGTCCTAGCCAAAAAAATTCTACTTGGTAAAGGTTGTGATGATAGTCCTCTAAATTTTCTTCAAGAAGATTCAGAGACCCTGTTTTTGCATCTAGGTCTAATATCCACCCCAAATTGGGTATTGTGTATGCTGTGAATTAGTATTGAAAATACTTGTATGTGTATATAACCATTTTATTATATTTTCTTGATTAAATAAAAATATATAACCATCAGAAAAAAGATATGCTTTGAGTTCCTATCACAATAGTTTTATATATATATGTGTAGATATGTATCTACACATACATCCTTAGATACATTAATATCATATAATGGGTACTACATAACATATATATATTTAATTATACATATAGCATAAATTTCAATAGGAGTATGTATATGTGTTATACTATGTATGTATATCTTGTTTTACAAATAGCAAAGTTAAGAGACTTTGCAAAGTTAAGTAACTATCACAGTGTGCCCAAACTAGGACTGAATTCTGATCCTGGTATCCTTTGTCTACCCATGTCCTGTACAGAAAAGATCGATTGGAGATGTGCAGATATGTTCCAGGTATTATCAGCTTAATAATTTGTACATTTAAATTAAGCTATTTTGCATGAGATGGAGATAAATACATTTGCAAAACATAAGTAGTGTGGAGAGAACTTAAAGTGAATATTTAAAAGGTGGCTCATCCTCCATATCAAAACGACCATTGTCTCTGGATTTGGCATTGGTCCAAAACCATGTGGTTGCTACTCCCCATTTGGAAATGCTACCTCACCATGGAAAAAAGAGGTTCAAACTTACCATTTTCTTTGCAGTAGTTTGTTTCCAACCTCCTGACCCCCTCCAACCAGACATCCTCACTGGGGGAAGAGTCAACATCATCAAAGATGCTTTCATGCAGCCAGGAATCAGAGGCACTGAGGTTGAAGAGAGAAGAAAAAGAACGGCGGATTCTCCTTTTCTTTCTAAATATTCTGGAGAGAAAAGAGAGTAGTAAGGTGAATAACAAATAGCAGTCAACTCACGGTCAAAGCAGAGAATCCAGTGAAAGCAGACACGGGGGCACATGTCCATCGCCCAGGTCCCTGAAGCTCATTGCATTTTTTTCCTCCATTAATTCCAGAGAAGTTTCTTAAATTTCTATATGTGTCAGGTGCTTGCATCAGTGTCAAGGATATTGAGATAAGAGACAAAACCTCGGGTCGAAAGACAAAAGTAATGCAGACACAGCGAACACTTTCATTGACCTCATCCTGAACACTTTGATCAACCTCATCCTGTGTCTGGTGTCTTTCTTAGTGATTTACGTATAGTAACCCACACTATCCTGGAAATAGCCCTGTGAGGTAGGTACTACTGCTACCCCATATCTCAGGTCAGGAAACTGAGGCACAAAGAAGTTAAATAACTCGTCTGAAGTCATTCAGCTAGTAGCTGACATAGCTGGGCTGCAAACCCAGGCAGTCTGGCTCCATCTTTTCTGCCCTTGGTGACTGTGCTGTGTGCATGTGTTCTGACAGTGTCAACTGGGGCTGCTTTGAGAGCACCAGGAGAAGTATTGCTAATCTGGAGATAAGGAAGGCTTTCTGAGGTAAACAAACAAATAGTCTCATATTGAGTCATGCTAGGAACTGAGGCAGGAAAGGTAAAAAGCGGGAAAATAATGAATGACCTTGACTGTTACGTGCTGGAATTAGAATTTAACATAAAGGGCACAGATGGCGGTGACCTGATTGGGTTTGCATTTCCAAAAGATTTGGGTTCTCCACATGTCCCCACTCCCAACAATCCAACAATCCATCCTCTACCTTATAAGCAGTGTTATCTTGCTAAGGATGAATCTGACCGTTTGTCAAGGGCTCCTGTCAATCTACAGAATAAAGCCCGGATTCCTCAGGATGAAACGAAACCCCCTCCATCCAGCCCTGCTTCTGGGTTTAATCTCCTCTCGTGGAGAGCTGTCTTTCCACCCTAAGCTGTATTTCTCCCAAATGACTTGCCGTTCCTCACACTGTATCAGGGTCTCTTGGGCCTCCATGCCGGCCCCCTCTCTCAGGAAGTCCTCTTTCCTACATCCTACTTATCTTAAGCCTTGAATCAACCATCCTCATCTCTAGGAAGCTGGTTTTAATCTATCCCGCCAAAGAAAATGGGCCTCTCTTCCTTCTCCCCTCCGCTACCCTCCATCCAGGCTTCTACCCCAGCACTTCTATTGCTTCATTACTTTAAAAAAAAAAAACTAGTTCATTCTTTTAATTACTTTACTTATTTTTGGTTGTGTGGGGTCTTCACTGCTGTGCGGCCTTCTCTCTAGTTGATCACATGTTACAGCATGCAAGATCTTAATTCCCTGGCCAGAGATCAAGCCTGCACCCCCTGCCATGGAAGCAGGGAGTCTTAACCACTGGACCACCCGGGGCATCCCAGCTCATTACTTTTTTTCGTTTTCATGTGTCAGGCACCCCTGCTTCTTATGAGCCCATGTACTTCCATGATCTGGAGCAGAAATAGACTGCTTATAAACAATGCTGAATGAACCAATGAATGAATGAATGAACAATTGACAGATGGGTTGGAATGCAGATCCTTTGACCTAACCTCCTCTACTTACCTGACTAAGTTCTCCTTGTAGAGAACCCTGGTCTGGGAGGGGCTCAGGGTTATGTTGCCACCTTCGTCGCAGAGAAAACTGTCTTCGGTCCAGATGTAGTAGCCGTTGGTGAGTAGTCTGGGACTTCGTCGACAGGTGACCGGGGAGCCCGTCAGGGGATCTCCAGAGCGGCCCTCAAAGGGACTGTCACCATCGAGGAAATCACAGACAGAGCTACAGGGGGGAGGAGACAAGCCCTTTCCGTCTACAGTCTCCATCCAGCCACACACAAACCACACGTGTAGTGACTGTGAAGGAAAACCACCTCTTTGCCATCCTGATGACCAACTACTTCTGCAATTCTGACAATGTCTCTCTTAATCCTCTGAGCTTCATCACTTCACCTGTGAGACTACTGAACTACAGCACGTTTAGTGGTTCTTTCTGTTTTAAACACTTTGATGAAAACTTAGGGCGAATTGGTTTCTTCACCATATGATGCCCCCTCCACCCCGTCCTTGACATGGTCCGTTTTCTTGGCTGGAAGAAATTGCAAAACAGCCTACCTGGGATGCTGGAAGCTCAGAGCATCTTTCACTCCCCACCCTTTCTTTGAAGAGCCCTCCAATTGCTACATCCTTACTCTTGTCACTGTAATAGGGAAATTGCAACTACACAGCCACCAGACGCTAATGAGTTATAGGAGAACATGCAGTCAAAGAGATCTTTGGGGGGATTCCTCTGTGGTCCAGTGGTTAAGAATCTGCTTTGCAAAAAAAGAAAAAAAAAATCTGCCTCGTGAGGCAAGGGTTATGGGTTCCATCCCTGGTTGGGGAGCTAAAATCCCACATGCAACTAAGCCTGTGTGCCGCAATAGAGTCCAACCACCGCAAGGAAAGATCTGGCAGCTGCGACTAAGATCTGATGCAGCCAAATAAATACACAAATATTTTTTTAAAAGAGGTTTTTGTTTTTTTTTGGGTGGGGGGGTTGCCAATTTTCCTCAGATCAGCTGCATACATGATCACACAGTTAACTTCCCTGATCTGCTATCGAGGGAAGTCCTCGACTTGGTCGCGCTCATCTGTACCTGCCTTAGGTTTGAGAAACAATCACATGTCTATATGGTTGAAATGCAACTTCATGCCTCACCCTTTACTGAAATTCTGAAAAAAATTTTAAGTTTAAATCTTATTTATGTTATATGCAAGATAGATAACCAAAAATGATGTACTGTGTAATACACTGAGCAATATATATTTTGTAATAACCTCTATGGGAAAAGAATCTGAAAAACAATATACATATATTCTGAATATACACATATATATATATTCAGATTATATATAACTCAATCACTTTCTTGTGCATCTGAAATTATCACAACATTGTAAATCAACTATACTTCAGTAAAAAAATTTAAAAACTTAGAAAAATAAACTGGTGCCATCAAAATAAAAAGACCACTCACAGTTACATGCACTAAAGTTAGCAAAGAACTATTTTAAATGGATGTTAATTTATGGAAAACTTACTATGAGCCTGGCCCCTATTTCATACTTTATGTGCTTTTCACATGCCTCCCTAAAAGTTAATTAGTATCTTCATAGTACAGCAGAAAACAACAAAAAAAAAAAAAAAAGAGAGAGAGAGAGAGAGATGGAGAATGGCAAATATATTAGGTATTTGAGTGTCAGAGTTAAGATTTTGAATCTGGGTCTATCTGATTCTAAAGCATACGATTTTTCCATAAGAGCTGCTTGTTCCTCTGGTTGATTCATTTGATAGTAGCAGGAAGCCCAGAATTTATAAAAGGGGGCAGGTTCTAATATCAGTGCATGATTCCTTTATACTACTGTCATGATTCACAAAATGCTAGAGGAAACATCAGCTGATGCCTGTGTAAGGAATAAAAGATAGAGAGGGAGAAAAGAAAAGAAAGGAAAAGATAGAGACTTCTTCGCGGAATTTGAACATAATGGCAGATTCAGCATGTCTTTGAGGAACATGAGATTTGGCTGGCTTGTGCTTTGGTATAGACTCTCACGGCTCTTGAAAAATGAGGCGGTTAGGGTTACGGTTAGGGTTAGGGTTATTTAAAGTATATTTAAGAGAATATCAATTTAAGAGAAAAAGTAACAATACATCAGTATTTGGTACGCACCAAACAAAAGCAATTCACATTTGCCCACACATTCCTCTCCCTTCCAACCTCCATTATTAGGTTAGGCAAGTTTTCAGTTCATATGTGCATAAGACTGGAAATATATTTCCATATACAAATTGAATGAAGGCTAAAACCAGTATATATATATATATATACATATATATATATATGTATATATATATATATATATATTGGTTGCACCATACAGCTTGTGGAATCTTAGTTCCCTGACCAGGGATTGAACCCAAGGCCATGGGAGTGAAAGCACAGTGTCCTAACCACTAGACTGAGAGGGAATTTCCAGTATTTTAAGTATTTATTTGTTTACTTATTTATTTGGCTATGCCAAGTCTTAGTTGCCGTATGCAGGATCTTTCAGTTGTGGCATGTGGTATCTAGTTCCCCTACCACGGATGTAACCTGGGCCCCCTGCATTGGGGGCGCAGTCTTAGCTGCTGGATCACCAAGTCAAGAATACAACAAAATAATGCATACAGAAAAAATCTGACTGATGTTTCATGAGAAAAGTCCCCTAGAATACCTTGGGAGAATGCATCGGGGAGACGGCTCTACAGCATATTCTTTCTCTGACTGGGCAGAATCTGCATAAGCAAATGAGAGAGAAATACAAATTTATCACACTGTATCAACATGCATGATTGCACACAGTGAAGGGTGTGACTAGCTGCTGTCCCAGCCTCGGCAGATTTCAACAGGAGCAACCCTCCAGTGACTCATGACTAACATAACTCGTTCTCAGGACTCTATGGGAGCAAGAGCTAATTCAGGGGTTTCTATATTCTTTCTCATCTCTCCTTCAACCCTCTTTGAGAGACTCCTTAGTCTGGATGAGGCAATAATAAACCAGGCTTCCCTGGTGACTCGGCAGTAAAGAATCCACCTGCCAAGGCAGGAAACTCTGAGTTTAGTCCCCGGGTTGAGAAGATCCCCTGGAGAAGGAAATGGCAACCCACTCCAGTCTTCTTGCCTGGAAAATCTCAGGGACAGAGGATCCTGGGGGCTACAGTCCATGAGGTTGCTGAGTCAGACATGACTTATTAACTGAACAACAACAAAAGTAATAAACCATTAGCATCAAACTGACTCATGAAAACGAGGAAGAAAACGTCTTGTGGGAAGCTGTTGAAAACCCAAATCGATTACCTAATGTGCTGGTTAGTTTAGCTTACTTAGTCATTTGAGGAATTCAATCATCTGTCTAGATTCTCTCTCATTAGTGCATCTGAAGGCACTCCTGTTACAAAATAATGAGCAGAAGACATTATTGGAGGAAAAAAATGTCTGTTTTCTATAAATGATTTTCCAGTGTATGACACCTGTGAATATTCTTAATTTTTTAAAAAGATTGTGCATTCATTCATTCCAGTTTAACTAAAGGGCTGGCAACAGATTTCAGTGGGGAAAAGCTGCAGTTGATTAATATTCTAAATGCTATTGCAGCATTTTATATTGTATAGAAATGGTGTGAATACTTGTAATAGACAGCCTCAGTGAAACTTGGTTCCATTACTGATAATTAATATCTAAGACAAAGAAAGGAGCTTAGACTTTCAGATTGAGTTGGCTGATTTGAAGGAGAAAACTGTAGGTGTGTGAGGGAGGGTTAGAAGCAGGGTTTGGGGAAAAAAAAATGACAAGAGGAAGGAAGAAATTTGAAACCACTACCGTTTTAACAACGCCCATATTTTCTGTAAGTAGCTATCAAAATCATTCAGTATTTTTTTTAATAGACAAACCGTTTTGCATCTTAATGGTAGCTGATAAACAATCTTCTTTCACTTTTATGCACAGGCATCTAAAAAAAAGTGATTTTTTTTTTTCCTACTAAAAGGAAAAATACCACATTTCTCTCAAGGAAAGAAATGAAGTCGAAATCATTGCCAAAGTGAATGCTGGCATTTAAGAAGCACAAGCTACTGACAGATGGTTAATGGTATGAGTATCAGCAAAATCAGAGCAGGGAGATTGCTAAAAGGAGTCTAATCATTCAAAAGATAATTGCGTAGAGCAGTTCTCTTACATTTACTTGCTACTGGTGTTGACATCAGTTGAGATATTTGGTACATCTTGGGATGGCTGCTTGTCCAAACTTCACAGATTTTCTGCAGAAGACATTAAAAAAAAAGGTGGATTATGTATTAAAAATAGAAAGATGATGCCAAAACAGATGGCATTTACTCATTGCACCAGTCAGATTTGTTTACTGAAAGAATACAGAGATAAATGGGGTTGAAGGCAGAGTTGAAGGACCACTGAGCTTGTGTCTGCCTCGATGATATTATATTTCATTTTCCATTGTGTCACTCAGTGCCTCTAAATAATCTTTTTCTGTAAATAAGGATAACATTTTATTTGGGAAAGCAAAACTTACAAAGGTTGACTTGTATTCAAAATAAAATAATGAAAATTAATTATTTGGTCAAGAAATCCAGAAAAAAATAAAAGATTGGTTTTAGAATTCTCTAAATAGATGTATTTGTATTTTTATGATCCAACACACTTCAACCTCATTATCAAGTTCAAACAATGCTAGAAGAGTGGGGACTGTCTTTTGCTTAACACCTCAAACCACTGACAGGTAGTTACAGAGAGGGCTGGGTGTCTTTATCGTTACTATCAGTCTGGACATTTCCAAATAGCATGAGAAGCATTGCACTAAAAATAGCATATTGCTGGGCAGATTTCAAAACTCACCTTTTATGAACATATAATTTACTTTCTCAGTTACAAATTAAATACATATACAAGTGTGTATGTTATGTAAACTTTCATCACTTATCACTCATTGCATGGATCTGCTTTCCATGGATCTTTCAATTTTGTATACATTATTATCCTAGCAACATAGTAAGGTAAGAAAAAATTCTTCTCTAATTCATCACCTCTATCCACATTTTTTCAAATGTGATAACTAAGATTGTTTCTATAGCTGTCACACAATTAAAACAAACCCAAATAATTCTATAGATTCAAATTGATTCTTTCAATAAACTAGACACAAAACCTGCCAGACAATATAGATCTTGCCTTACAGGGACCTTAAGAGAAATCAGGAGAACTTTCTGGCATTCCTTGAAAGATCTCTAAATCAAAGCATATGCATAGATTTCAATGGTTTGGAATATAAAATAATACTGTTTGCTCTACAATACTGTACAATAGTATGTCAGTAGTCCTTTCCATTTTTGTCCAACCCAAATTATCCTGTGTTAATTTCCCCCAATCATCAAGTTTAATTTTAAGCCAACAAGTTGCACAGAACAAAGTAAGGTCTTACTGCTACATCTTATTAATTGAAATACAACAGGCTACAGTTAACTAACAGTTAATCAAATATTAGTAACACTGAGAAAGACTTCCGGTGCAGCTCTAAAACTTTTCAAGAAAGCAGACCCTATCTATCAGTTCCATGAAAGCAACTCATCTGTCCTAAAAATGTGTCTGTCTTCCTTCCAAAGAAAGTTCCCAGCCTCTTCTTCCAATTCATAAATAACAAAATAGTTACTGAAATATGACGCTTTCTGCGGTTGAGAGTCAGCAGAGAGATCCAGGACTTAGCAGGTCTTCAGCTGAAAATAATGACAGCGTACCAACAGGTGCAGAAGTCTTTTAACAAAGGGAAACCCGTCTCTCCCTCCTCCTAACAGATAGCTGCACACATCGCCCTGTGCAGGCTTTTGCAGAGAACTTTTGTCTTCAGCAGCCACTTGCTCTTTTGACTGTTTCCGAGAATAGAAGAGCATGTAGTTCTCTGGAAAGCAGCCTACAACTGCTCTTGTTTTCTTTTAAAAACAGTCTGCGTAACCAGAGGCTGAGAGGCACAGTGAGGTCACACTTCCTGTGCGATTCACATCAGTGGCGCTCACGCTGAGGAACATGGTGAAGATGAACGCAGGCTCCTGGACCAGCAGCAGGGGATGAATCAGACCAGCTGGACGCATCACGGGCACACCAGGGATGCTCTTCTGCGCCAACTCATCACCCCCGCTGCGAGAACATAAGAAAAACTTTCAGAGAAGCAGCACCGCTCACTTATCATATTCTGGACATTTTCAGTGCGAGTAGTGTGTGGTTGGGAAAATTACCTGGAGCAGGGCATGGCAACCCACTCCAGTATTCTTGCCTGGAGAATCTCAAGGATAGAGGAGCCTGATGGGCTATAGCCCATAGGGATGCAAAGGGTTGGACACAACTGAAGCGACTTAGCATGCATGCATTTAGTGACTAGTAATACTTTGCCAAAATTGTTATTAGTGATCAGGCATTGATGATATTCAATTCAGAAGACTATCAAATACCAGAACTTGATCTGAAAATGTCTGCAGTGCCAATATGTTTATCCATCAAAGGTTGGACTTTTCAAGAAACTCTGTGAGTGGCATTTTAAATTTTATATCTAAATGTCTCTAGAGCTGAAAACTCTTCCGCTATTATAAAACTTCTTATGCTATGGTAAATGAAAGTGTTAGTCACTCAGTCATGTCTAACTCTCTGCAACTCCATGGACTGTACCCCACCATGCTCCTCTGTCCATGGGATTCTCCAGGCAAGAATACTGGAATGGGTTGCCATTCCCTTCTCCAGGGGATCTTCCTGGCCCAGGGATTGACCCAGGTCTCCTGACCTGCAGGCAGATTCTTTACTATCTGAGCTACCAGGGAAGCACCAGATGCTATTGTAGGGTCCCTACAAAGCCTGCAGTTGTCAGTGATAAAAGAAATAGACCTTCCAGCAATACTGTGGTGCATAGGGTGATGGAGAGTCACACAGACAGAGATTCAAACTCTGTCTGCCACACTAGCTGTGTCCCCAGTTTACGACTTCACCTCTGAGTTGTAACTTTCTCATTAAGTTTATAAATGTAATAATATGTATGTTGCTGGATGGCTTGGAGCATTAAATGAGATTTTAAAAAATGAGAATTAAGTGAGTCTTCAGCTCAGACGTCCGAGATGGATTCCTTGTTTGTTTTCTGTAAATCAGCTTCCCTTCTGAGGCACCAGTCACCAGGCTGCAGGAAAGTTAATCTCATTCTTTCTTGGGGGTTTCCTTTTCCCCTGAGGTTATGCCAAAGGCAGAGTCTTCTGTAGAACACCCCCAGGCAGGAGAAGCTATTAGGAGGCAATCCCATCTAGTCTGTGGTCCGCAGCTTTCAAAGCTGACCCCCAAGAATCCTTTGCAAAATCCCCTCCTGTATAGTGGGGGCTGAGGCTAATAATTTGCCTCTTCTAAATAGAACAAAGAATATAATCAGTCTGATTTCTGTGTTGACCATCTGGTGATGTCCATGTGTAGAGTCTTCTCTTGTGTTGTTGGAAGAGGATGTTTGCTATGACCAGTGCGTTCTGTTGGCAAAACTCTATTAGTCTTTGCCCTGCTTCATTCTGTACTCCAAGGCCAAATTTGCCTGTTATTCCAGGTGTTTCTTGACTTCCTACTTTTGCATTCCAGTCCCCTATAATGAAAAGGACATCTTTTTGGGGTGTTAGTTCTAAAAGGTCTTGTAGGTCTTCATAGAACCGTTCAACTTCAGCTTCTTCAGCGTTACTGGTTGGGGCATAGGCTTGGATTATCATGATATTGAATGGTTTGCCTTGGAAATGAACAGAGATCATTCTGTCATTTTTGAGATTGCATCCAAGTACTGCATTTCGGACTCTTTTGTTGACCATGATGGCTACTCCATTTCTTCTAAGGGATTCCTGCCCACAGTAGTAGATATAATGGTCATCTGAGTTAATTCACCCATTTCAGTCCATCTTAGTTCACTGATTCCTAGAATGTCAACATTCACTCTTGCCATCTCCTGTTTGAAAACTTCAACTTGCCATGATTCATGAACCGAACATTCCAGGTTCCTATGCAATATTGCTCTTTACAGCATCTGACCTTGCTTCTATCACCAGTCACATCCACAACTGGGTATTGTTTTTGCTTTGGCTCCATCCCTTCTTTCTCTCTGGAGTTATTTCTCCACTGATCTCCAGTAGCATGTTGGGCACCTACTGACCTGGGGAGCTCCTCTTTCAGTATCCTATCATTTTGCCTTCTCATACTGTTCATGGGGTTCTCAAGGCAAGAATACTGAAGTGGTTTTCCATTCCCTTCTCCAGAGGACCGCATTCTGTCAGACCTCTCCACCATGACCCGGCCGTCTTGGGTGGCCCCACAGGGCACGGCTTAGTCTCACTGAGTTAGACACGGCTGTGGTCCTGGGATCAGATTGGCTGGTTTTCTGTGATTGTGGTTTCAGTGTGTCTGCCCTCTGATGCCCTCTCGAAACACCCACCATCCTACTTGGGTCTCTCTTACCTTGGATGTGGGGTATCTCCTCACGGCCGCCCCTCCTGACCTTGAACGTGGAGCAGCTCCTCTCGGCCCTCCTGCGCCTGTGCCCCCGCCGCTCCGTGGAGGTGGGGTGCTCCTCTCGGCCGCTGCCGCTGACCGAGGGCGTGGGGCGGCTCGTCTCGGCCTCTCCTGTGCTGTTATGGCTCCATACAGCCAGCAAGAACAAGACCGGGAGCTGACTGTGGCTCAGACTATGAGCTCCTTATTGCCAAATTCAGACTTAAACTGAAGAAGGTAGGGAAAACCACTAGACCATTCAGGTATGACCTAAATCAAATCCCTTATGATTATACAGTGGAAGTGAGAAATAGATTTCAGGGACTAGATCTGATAGACTGAGTTCCTGTTGAACATTGGATGGAGGTTCATGACATTGTACAGGAGATAGGGATCAAGACCTTCCCCATGGAATAGAAATGCAAAAAGGCAAAATGGTTGTCTGAGGAGGCCTTACAAATAGCCATGAAAAGAAGACAAGAGAAAAGCAAAGGAGAAAAGGAAAGATATTCCCATTTGAATGCAGAGTTCCAAAGAATAGCAAGAGGAGAGAAAAGAAAGCCTTCCTCAAAAAAAAAAAAAAAAAAGAAAGAAAGAAAGCCTTGCTGCAGTGATCCAGTGGAGCAGTCTGGGAATGTCAGAAAGCCAGGGTTTATCACCCGTGAAGCTTGAGTGATGGCAAGTGCTGCCTGAGAGCAAGGAGGGCTCTAGGAGGATATGTGAGAGTGAGGAAAAGGCAGGTTCTTTGGTGAGCGCAGTCAGTAGTTGGGGAAGCAGGCCGGGGGGTGGGGTATGGCTGGTCCCTGTGGTGTGGCCACAGGGCTGGGAGGAAATGGCCCTCCCAACCTGCTATTACAGCAGCTGAGGTTGGGCCCAGCCTGACAGCTGGGGGCTGGCAGCCTACNAGCCTCTTGATGAAAGTGAAAGAGGAGAGTGAAAAAGTTGGCTTAAAGCTCAACATTCAGAAAACTAAGATCATGGCATCTGGTCCCATCACTTCATGGGAAATAGATGGGGAAACAGTGGAAAGAGTTACAGACTTTATTTTTGGGGGCTCCAAAATCACTGCAGATGATGACTGCAGCCATGAAATTAAAAGATGCTTACTCCTTGGAAGGAGAGTTATGACCAACCTAGACAGCATATTAAAAAGCAGAGACATTGCCAACAAAGGTCCATCTGGTCAAGGCTATGGTTTTTCCAGTGGTCATGTATGGATGGGAGAGTTGGACTGTGAAGAAAGCTGAGCGCAGAAGAATTGATGCTTTTGAACTGTGGTGCTGGAGAAGACTCTTTAGAGTCCCTTGGACTGCAAAGAGATCCAACCAGCCCATCCTAAAGGAGATCAGTCCTGGGTGTTCATTGGAAGGACTGATGCTGAAGCTGAGACTCCAATACTTCTGCCACCTCATGTGAAGAGTTGACTCATTGGAGAAGGCCCTGATGCTGGGAGGGATTGGGGGCAGGAGGAGAAGGGGACGACATCACTGAATTGATGGACATGGGTTTGGGTAAACTCTGGGAGTTGGTGATGGACAGTGAGGCCTGGCATGCTGCAGTTCATGGGGTTGCAAAGAGTCAGACATGACTGAGCAACTGAACTGAACTGAACTGAAATAGGACAAGACAAAAGTGATGGGTTGCTACTACTATGATTAGGTTACAAAAGTTGGACGCATCTGTCTTACCACCTTGTCTTACACACTTGGATGGAGCAAGCTGTCATGTAGGAGAAGCATGCATGGCAAGGATCTGAAAGTTGTCTCAAAAGTTGTCCTGAGTCCATGAGCCAAGAATGCAGCTAACAACCATGTCAGTGAGCTTTATAAAAGTGGAATGGTGGTTGCCCGGGACTGGGAGGAGGAGAAAACAGGGGAATGTTGGTCAAAAGATGCAGAGTTTATGCAAAGATAAATAAGTCCTAGAGATCTACTGAATAGCATAATACCTATAATTAACAGTATTGCATTGCATACTTAAAAACTTGCTAAGAAGGCAGACCTTATGTTAAGTGACCTATCACAAAACAGATAATAGATTGATGGGTAGTAGATAGATAGAGCAGGAGGAAATTTTTGAAGGTGATGGATATATATTTATTCACATTGATTTTAGTGGTGGTTTCGTGGGTGTATATTTATCTCTAAACTTAGATTGTGTACATTAAATATGTTCAGCTTTTTTCTATGTCAATCATGCCTCAGTATGATTGTAAAGTAATTTTTTTAAAAGTAGTTTAAAAAAAAAGCTTCTAGAAAAAATAAGTTTTCAAAATAGAAATCATTATAAATTCTTTAAGGAATCATGGGCTTTGCAACTACTCAAACGACACCTGTTCTCATCATTTATGAAAAT